ATTTTATTTTATTTCTTTAAGTATTGTTATTTTGTGTGTTTATGTGTGTGTGTTTTCGTTTGTAATAAATGTTATGTCTATGTCTATGTCTACTTAGGGTGCTTAAGTAAAAGAGCGTTCTTAAAAGGCCGTCAACGAACTTGCGAGCCTTCTGGCAATGTGTCCATGGGTGGCAGTATCACTTAACATCAGGTGAGCCTCCTGCCCGTTTGCCTAGACACGTACCGAAAATGTATTTAAAAAGTGTATATATTTAGTAGATAGAAAACAAATATATTGGATAGACATTGCACGCACATCGCTTTAAATCTAAAATGGTTTTGGACATGACACTTAGCACAATATCCAGACAGGTGAACGTATAAAGTGAAGAAAAGGCCCGTCTCAAATGGCGAATATTTATATAATAATAATAATAATACCAATTAATTAGAATTAATTAATTAACATCTTTAGGTAAAAAATATTGACTCCAAAAGTGAATATTTTTATGTGACAATGTCAAATAATACTTTTACTTTTTATATATTCAAAGACAATAAAGAAGAAAAAGGTCGTAGGCTTCATGCAAGCAGTTATCAGCTACCAACAATTTCCAATCTTTACAATTTTTTTTTTTTTTTTTTAACAATATAGAGTTTAAATTTGTTATAAACATTTTTCTCGTTGTCTTAACTTCCTTACATTCTCAGGTAAAGGTCGCACCCAGATGTTTCCTGATGTCTCTATCCATGGCTTTCTTTCTCCATTCTCTTCCTGCAATAAAGCTTTTTATAAATTTGACGAATATTTAAATGATCCTAATCCCTGGGATTGATTTGCTCCAGTCCAAACAATTTGTATGACTCAAAACTTAGCGATTAAAAACAGTGGCGGAAAGTTTCTCGCCAGTTCTTCTGGCCCGCTCTACGCCCTTGACTTGCGAACTAGTAGTAAATGTAAATTTAGGATTAATTTAACTTCTTTTCTGACGGTCACTTATTTACCTATATGAATAAAGTTATTTAGAATTTGAGTTTGAGTTTAATGATTATATGTATATCTTCTATCCACCCTTTTCTAGGGCACTCCCTTCTAATTCTCTACCCTCCAGAAAAAGGCGAATATGTAGTTAAAAATCGCTGTTCAGAGCATATCATAGCTGTAGCGAGCAAGCAAAAGTTGAAAGTTCCAACCCAACACAAAACTTTATTTAATGTAATACAATCTAAATTCAATGTTATTACTTTCTGTTGTGTTGTAAACATTTTAGTTTTATAAGGCATAATAATAATAATATTTAAATACTTCTTTAACAGATATAGACTATAATTTATTTTTACCACGAACAATACATTAAATTATCAGAAATGTAGTGACAATTACAATCTTCATTATACGAAACTAGGCTAGCGCACTTGATGATGTCATTGGAGAACCCTGGAAAATTAAGTGTATAATGTATCGTTTATATTTAAGCTATTTAACAACCAGGTTGATTGCCCGAACCTTTTATCAAAATTTAAATACTATAAATTTTAATAGTATTTGTAATTTCATTTGTTTTGTTTAGTATTTGTATTATCTCTTCGAGTACCTATGTCATGTTCGCCTATAAGCGCTTGTCACATTAAACATTGTATATTGTGGTTCTTTTACCAATGTATCAGTATGCCGAGCGTTGGCAAGCTTTTATCAATAAAATAAAATTCAGCAAGAATAAGTACGATGAAGGATATATACAACTTCTCCGCCTTAGGGCCAGTCAGGGTTTTGACTGGTCGAGGATCCTCACTTTAGGTCGGACGACGGGCACAATATCCTCCATGGTAACGATAGATTTTTCTATAGAAATCTTTAGAAACGCATGGAACGTATATGAAATTATTACAAACGTTCAAACATAATTCGTGCTGAAACAAGAGTTATTATCTCAGCGGATTTTTGAAACTCTATGCCTCCCAGACGCTCGAATCAATTTCCTAAAGGTATGTAGTAGACACACTAGATTGGGAGTGACCTAAATTGTTTATGGTTAACACTTAACAGTATAAATAATAATAACTCGCTTACGATAAATATTTAGTTTTTATGAGAAATATTATATTTGCAGGCGTTGATTTAATGCTACTAGACATTTTGTATTTCAATAGTTATTATGGTGATATTTATTTCGTATTACAGATAACATAAATTATATATAACCAAAAACTATTATACTAAAGATGGAATACATATACATGCAACTTCGTTGCATGTATACAGTTAGTTTAATACAATTGACATAATTAAATAAAAAGGAGGGCAACTGGCGGCCTTATCGTTTTCGAGCAATGTCTTCCAGGTAACCACTAACTAAGTAATACCTAATTCGGCTGTGTTATGTGTTGGTGTGAACGTGATTTAGCGCTATGGATACTCTTCTTCATAGCTTTAATTTTAAGTTTGTCTGCCCCTAAAGGAAAGTATGTTTTTATTCTAACTCATTACTTGATAGTAAAGATTGATACAAATTATGTATACAGTATTGGAAAATAGCAGGCAATTTCGCAGCCATTAGAAGGACAGGAAAACAATATTATTCAATCTGTAGAAAATCTTCAACAGTAGGCAGTAGGCACGTTACTCGCTAGTTCCGGAGATGCATAAATCTGATGACTCGTTCTATGTAACGAGTGTTGACGTCAGCAGCTTTCTAACAGGCTACGAGAAAAGCGGTGATCCAATAATAGGCTTTTTCATGTGTCCTATTTTTTATAATTGTCTGTTTCATTGTTTACATATGATTTAATTGCTTTGCTTTGTTCCATTACTTTTGTCCTTATGTAATTTTTGAAGTGAAACTTCTTTAATCGCATCTGGGTAAAAATTTACGGATGAAACGCAATTATAATAATATTAGCGTCACGAAGATGTGCAGCGTTTTTGTCGAAGAAAAGGGAGAGAGCGATTGAGAGTGAGTGATATAGAGCGATCGTCGCATCACGCACAGTGCCATGGAGCGAGAGGTGGGAGAATAGTGAGAAAGATTGAGAGAGAGAGAGTAAGGGAGATCGAGAAAAACACGCTACACACTATTGGTTGATGTATTCGTTTAGTACATAGCGATAACTTTGTTGACTTCTTTAATTTAATTATTTAATTGTACTGTTTTTTTCTGTATTTCTGCAACAAAGTTGTAATAGATAAATATTATAATGCTACGATGAAGTTTAAGCGTTAGATTCAGACGATACTTAGCTTTAAGTTTCCGTAGGTCAAAACTGTAATAGATTTTGACATATCGCTTGCCCCGGGGAACCAAGTCGTAAAGCACTATTACGGCAATAGTTCGTGCTAAATCTCGTTTCTGAATATGGCCCTAAGTTTACGCCATTGGGTTTTGTTTTCGAAGATCTTTAATTAATCATTAAAAAAAAAAGGTTCAATACAACTTCTACAAAAATATATGTGTCCCATATTACATACTAATTGATCTTATTTAAATACTCTTTGTCTCTTTTTTAATATTGTATTTACGTACGCTATGATGAAAAAATTGAGATATATAAGCACTTTATGTAAAATGGTAGATTTATTAGATTAGATGTATAGATTTATTTATTTACATTATTCTGATAAAGTGTCATAAGTGAACTGTCAACTGTCAAGAATCTATAACGACTCAATGTAAAGTATTATTTATCATTATAATATGTTACTTAGCGAAATTTAGCGGGAACATTAAAACTGTTATGGCGACAAGAGGGGACTAAGAAAAGTTATATTTTTTATCGTAACGCTAATCTTCTAGCCACAAGCAAGCAAGTGTTATGCATGCATGACTTTTGAACCGTGAGATCGACTTGTATTTTCTTAATAGGAATTCTAAAACCTTAACTTTTATTACAGTACCAATTCGCTACTGAATGAAAAGGTAGAGAAGGGCGTTCTATTTATTTATAGTGTCATAGTAATAATTTTTATTAATATGAAATGTAAAAGTACAAACATAAAAAAAAGCAAATTAATAATGAAAAAGTATGTTTCCGCCCGGGATCGAACCGGGGGCCTTCTGCGTGTTAGGCAGATGTGATAACCGCTACACCACGGAAACCGATACAAGTTGTCCGAATTTTTTGGTTATATCACAAGGTAAACTATAAATGAAAACTACTTTAACCAAATATTAAGACGAACATCGATAATACAGATACGGAAAGACGAACTTTAAACATCTGAATAACATATTTCTTTATAAAAGTATCAATAAAATAATGATAATATATTAAAGGTGTCGCTCCGGGCACCTTGGTCAACTTTAATATGAGGCAAAATTGGTGACATATAATTTCATGTTTTGATAATTGAGAGATTGTTATCTACATATGATATAACTCTAAGAATCTAATTGCTGGAATTATAAAACCAATTGTCAATTATTGAGATAATGAAAAGTTGTTTAAATAGTTCTTTTTTGAAGAGAAATTACAATGGTGCCATACAATTTTGTTGAGAAAGCTGTAGATATAATATATTATATCACATTACTAATTTTATGTAGAAATGCATAAAAGGGTAAATGAAAACAGATTTCACATTATTATATAAAATTTATTTACATAAATAAGCACAGTACAGTAAAAGTAATTTAATTTCAGCATAAATTATTTAAAGTGAAATGCCTCTGCATGGAATGACAACCCAAGTAGTTAATATCTACCTAATTTACATAAAAATTATTTCAATAAATTCAAAGCATTATATTAACAACAATGTGTGCTAAGGTTTTAAAATAGTAAAAATCTATACAATATCAGAATATATAGTAATTATTTTAAATGTGTCTAATGCATTCTGGAAATTGCCAAAACATTAACCCCTTTTGTAATTTTTAGGAATACATTTTCATATTGAAAACATTTGTAAAACAATTATATAAAATAAAGGTTTTTTTTACTGTGATAGCTTATATCCAGTATATTCATATGAGGAAAGCTGAATTTGAGATACTCTTACTTTATAATATAATTATGTTAATTTTATTCATGTTTAACTCTAGACAATGCTACATAACTATGTTTTGTGTCCATATTATAGTAGCCAACAGGCCCCGCATCACAATCGGCACAACTTAAATACTTACAATTATCTATTGTATGTGTAAAACCTATGTTTTCAAAAGTATACATGTTTTCTACAAAGAAAAATTGATTAATTTTTTCATATTGCACTTTGGCCTCTGCTCTTTTATCTTGTTCCATTAGTGGTAAATCAATCTGTAAATATAAATTATCTTTAGTTTTTTTCTAGCTATGTGACAGACTAATAGTCTGTTAAGCACATAATCTATATATATAAAAATGAAACCCGTTTTCCGTTGTCACGACATAACATGAAAACGGCTTGACCGATTTGTCTGATTCTTTTTTTATAATATTCCTTGAAGTACGAGGATGGTTCTTACGGAGAGAAAAATTAAAAAAATTGAGTGAAAAAGTCTAAAAACAACACTTTTCTATATTCCCATAAAAATATTCGTAATAATATTTAAAGGCAATTTGAACTTTAATACCATGTCATAAAGTTCAAGTGTTAGTGGAGGGGTTCCGGGAAGGTAAATTTTTATTTTTTGACATAATGTATTTGTTGTATTATCAACTTTCTTTTTTTTATCTTACTAGCTAGACCGGTGTCCCGAATAGCAGAATAAGTATTTAAATAAAATAAAGAATCGACTGTTAGGCGGTACAATGTTCGCCAGGCCAGCTAGTACATTATATTATTCAATTATTCACATTAAGTGAAACAAGTTGAGTTGGTATTATGCCTTACAAAACAACAATCTATCACACTGTAGTGTGTAGTTTACATTCTGTGATACGTTTAAGAAAAAAGCCTTATTAATTATTATAGGTTAGGTTTCAAACTAAGAAAATGAACATACCTCTTTTGTAACAAATTTTCCAGATTTCCGTTCTAGAATTTTAGAACCACAAAATTTGCATTTTACTAATAGTTTATTAGAACCATCCTCAACATATTCATTTTCGACGGCATCATTTGTGTCGGCATCAGACATCGTAATTGATAATTTATTCCCACAATGATATTACTGTTAACTGTTAAAAAACAGTATTGTTACGGTAAACAACCTAAAGAAAAGTAGATATCAATTAAATTTAAACTTTCCACTTATACAATATATCAACCAAGTAACAAAATAATATTGATTTGATTTTGTCCACTCAATAAACATTAAAATTTAAAATACTCTAAATATTTAGCGTTTCATTTTATTTTTTTTTTTTTTTTTATTTTATGGCCTGGTAACGAGACCTTTAAGCCAAATCTTATTTTCGGTCACTAAATTTCACTTATTTTCACTTCATTTAATTTCACATGTTATTCTTATTCCAACATTCCACTTGTTTTCTTAAATCTTCCCTACGGTATTTTTAACGTATTTATATAATGCACTATAACACTTTTTGTTTTTGAGCAAATCACACAACTGGCGGCGGGAGGGATCACTAACTTCCATTATTTCACTTGCTAATAGTAGTCTATTAAAAATGAAAATTTGGTTTTGGCATTTAAAAAAAATATGATTCATATCTGCGATCTCGTTAGTGCAGAAAGAGCAAACATTGTTATCTATAATATTAAGTTTAGCGAGGTGTGCGGGTGCAGTGTTGTGACCAAAACGCAATCTGTTGATTGTGGTAACGAACTCACGACTAACTGTATCCAACCCATAATCTTCATGCCTTTACTGCCGTCAGTATATATAGTATAGTACTTGTTATTTTCTTCTTTGAAAGCCAGTAAGTCCGAATTATTTTCAATTGAATTTGATAAAATCGTAATAGGATGTGTGATACAACTGTATGAATGAGTGTAACACGACCAGTGAGAATGTTTTTTGATGTTTGAATAATGAGATTGTATTTCTGTAAAGATCTGGCACAAAGTTGGAGATGTACCTGTCAGAAGATCATTTGGTGAAGTGAGAGGACCATCTATATTGATAGGGTGAGGTATTATCCTGTTTATAATTTGTAAATTATTTGATGATAATAGTTTCAGACAGTATCTTTCTGTAAGCATAAGTCGTCTCAATATCAATGGCATAATATTAGTTTCGACTTCCATGGCTCTTATGGGAGTCGAACACATTGCTCCTGATATGATCCTCAAAGCCCTGTTCTGCAATATATCCAATTTATGTGTATGAGTGCTATTTAAATAAGCCAAAGAACTGTAATCAAAATGACTTCTTACAATAGATTTATATAATATAGATAGTATTTTGGGATCTGCACCCCATGAAACACCTGCTAGACATCTTAAAATGTTAACACCTCTTAATGCATTTCTAGATACATATTTAATATGTTCTTCAAATGACAGCTTCTGGTCAATGATAATACCCAAAAATTTGTGTGAGGTGACTCTTTGAATGACATCACCATTATATACAACATCTACTATTGGTGTGTCTTTTCCAAATATCATGGCATTACTTTTGGCAGCATTTATTTTCAAATTTAATCTGTGTTGATAATAATTACTTAACTGCTTTAATCCAGTGTTAACATTTTCAATGGCTACTGTTAAATTTACATCAGAACTATACAACACTAAATCATCTGCAAATTGAAGTATATTTACATTTTTAGTATTTACATATTTACATATCTCACAAGTATACAAGTTATATAACAAGGGCGATAAAGTTGCACCTTGTATAGTACCCTTTGATGCAGTTCTAGGTCCATACAAGATATTGTTATGCCTAACATATAGTATTCTGTTAGTAAGGAAATCATAAATCCATTTAGATAATTGTCCAGGTATACCAGAATTACTGAGTACTTTCACCAGTATGCCAGGATCCACACTGTCAAATGCACCTTGCACATCCAAAAATACACAAACTGTGTGTAATTTATTGTTTTTTGCATTTTTCAGGTCGGATATCAGAGAAATGAAGCTATCGGCACAGCTTCTTCCTTTACGGAAGCCATATTGAATATGTGGTATGACATTATTGGATTCTGCATACCAGTCAAGTCTAGATTTTACCATGTTTTCAAATATTTTCCCAATACATGATGATAACGAGATTGGACGATAGGAACTAATCTGTTCAGGTGACTTATCTGGTTTTAATATAGGTATTACACATTGAGTTTTCCATGAACTTGGTATGAGTTTCTTATGCCAGAGATTATTAAGAATATTCAAAAATATCTTTTGTACAGATTCAGATAAATGTTTTATTAATAAATATGGAAAATCATCTAAACCAGGACTAGTATTTCTTCTAGATTGTATACTCATTAAAAGTTCAGACCATGAAAAAGAATCCAGTAAAAATGTTGATTGAGGATTCTCATTGTTAATATTAAAATAATTGTCTAATGAATCTGAATCAACTAAATTGTTATTATCTGATAACTTATCTAAAAGTGGCTGTACAAATTCATCCCTATATGATTTATTACCAGTTCTGATTCCCTTAAACTTTTTAATGAGATTCCATATTTGACTGATGGGTGTAGTTCTATTGAAACTATTGCAAAAACCAATCCAACTGATTTTTTTTGCTCCTTTATAGTGCGTTTTTTTAAAGCATCTAATCTTTTATAGTTGATGTAATTATATTCTGTTGAATTGTTTCTATACAATTTCAGGGCTTCATATGATTTTATAACGGCTTGTTCACATATACTGTTCCACCAGGGGGCTGGTGGTCTACTCCTAAAGTTAGTCCTAGTGAATCTAGGAACTACCATTAGTTTGAGTTTATTAAGCCGACTACAAAACTCATCATAAGATTTCATTGGACTCTCTTCACTAACCATCATGTCATGGAAGACCAAACCAGACAATTCGCTATACTTTGTCCAATCTGTTTTATCATATAAAAATCTGTCAACATGTTTATTAATTGTGTATCTTTCAATGCACATTGTAATGTTAGTTATGGTTGGATAATGATAACTACCCATAGCATCATCATGTACATACCATTCACAAAGTGGAGCCACCTGTGGACTAACAAAGCTTACATCTATTGCTGAGGGGTTGCGTGTAGGATAATTTACTGTAGTAAAACTACCATTATTCAAAATACATAAATCACATTCATCAATTATATTATATAAGTTATTGCCTCGACTTTTCGTAGACAGGCATCCAAAAGCAATATGATGTGCATTGAAATCACCACTAACAAAAATAGGTTTTGGTAATCCTCTTATAATATTGTGCAATCTATTCATTCTTATATTCCTACTGGACGGAGGACAGTACACACAAAGAATAGATATAGTAGTATTTTCTGTGTATATACTTATGGCTATTGTCTGTATATCTTCATAAAAAGTAGTATTTATGACATTATGTTTCAAATATGGTTTAATTAATATTCCTACACCATTACGAGGATTTTTTGAATTTTTATTGTAGAAATTATAACCAGAAATATAAAAAGAATGGTGTTCTTTTAACCATGTCTCATTAAGTAAGCAAATATCAATATTTTTTTCATTTAAGAATTTTGTAAGAAGATGTTTTTTATTATTTGCACCTTGAACATTAAATTGCGCAATACGTAGAGAGTGTGTTATATATGGTTGTGTATCCATTATGTTGACAGATTCTTAATAAGTATATCTTTTATAAATGTTGCAGTGATGGGTTCATTATCAACCTTATTACCTATTTGAACCAGTGTTTGTACCAGGGCCATAAGTACATCACTGTTTTCAATTATTTGTAATTTTATATCATTAATACTATTTACAGATTTATTTACATGTTTTACATTAGGTTTATTATTTACATTAATTACTTTTTTATTTATAGGGTTGGAGCGTGGTGGAAGAGGAGGGAACTCATCATTATCTTTTGTATTGGCAACGCTTGCATAAGTTATTTTATTTTTCTTTTCTAATGTTTTCTTCATTTTAATGGGACACAATTTAGAAATAGCTAAATGAGGTCCGTTGCAATTAGCACAGCAAATCTCATTTGGCTTAGTGCAGTCTTTATAGGAATGTTCACCTGAACAAATAGAGCAACGCTCTTTGCCGTTACATATTTTTGCAAAATGATTGAATTTAAGACATTTAAAACATTGTTGCAGAGGAGGAACATATTCAAATATTCTATAAAAAAATAAGTCGTATTGGACACTTTCAGGTAAAGTGTTTGCCAGAAATGTGATACTTACAGTTTGTGTTCTGACTAATTCATTACCAATTTTTTTCACAAATCTCCTAACTGCTATTATTTCATTTGTAGAAGTCAATTTAGCAAATAGTTCTCTATTTGTAATATTTGTGGGCACAAATCTGATAATACCAGTTTTCTCAATTTGAGCTGCTGGAATATATGCTCTCATTTCGTGTTTATCAAGAAAGCTGTTATTATTTATCAAATTGTTAGCTGTATTATGTTGTCTGAAGATCACAACAATTTTATTTGCGCCAATACGCCTTATTGCCACCACACCTTTAATATCGGAAAATATCTGATTCAAATATATTGGGCTTTTATTTCCCAGCTTGTCTTGTATATTTTTGCTCTGAATGAAAACCTTAAATTCTGTGTTAATTGCATTTTCAGGATATAACCTTTTATAATTGGGCTTGCGATATGCCATATAAGAGTCTTTCTCACCACCTCCGCCGCCAGCATCAGAAACATCTTGGAGATCTTCTAACCGCCGTCGTGGTCTCTTTTTTGAGGTGGGCGGGTCAAACCCGCCCCCCTCGTTTCCTTCCATTTTAATTATTTATTCACTATATTTATATTTAATTTGCCAATTTATACTGTTATTTACAAAGAAATAATATTTATATTAATTAAAATACAATTTTGAAAAAAATTGAACCGCGCTTTTTCAACTTCCCGCCAAGAATCTCTCATTTTATTTTTATATACATTCACAGACAAAAGATATTTCAAATTTTCTCTATAGGTAAAAATTAAAATGCAATATTTGTATTACGTACTCTATGAATTTGTTTTCTAAGGCCATTCTAATGCGTTAATAGGATAATATAAAACTATATTATTTGTGCTTTGATTTACGTTGGTTACTAAGAGTTATCTTCCAGGCTAGTATCGTTTGTTGTCAACGTTTTATATTTAAAAAAAATATTTCGAGCGTTAATAAGTATTTCTATGATACAAGAATTATTAATCACGTCTATATATGCCTTAGCTTTTATTGACATAAAAACAGATAAACCAGAAGCCTTATAAACATTAAACATCAAAATTTGGGATGTTAATGGGTTGGTATAGTGCTATGTTTAATTATAATATAACGTCTGTTATCTATGACTTAATTAACAGTTTACAGTTGACAGAATTGAATCTGTGACGTTTTACAATTCGTTGGAGATATATTATCATTGTAATAAAATTGAAAACATTCCATAGAAATTGTCAGAGGTTAAAAACTGTACATACCTACTGCTCGAATTGCTTCAACTGAAACTAAAAAAATTCTCCATAATGAGTTCCGGATTTATATCGGAATCAGAAATCTTGGAGGCGCGGCGGCGTCGACAAGAAGAATGGGAAAAAGTCCGCACTGAAGATCAGCCTAAAGGTTCATTACTATTTCTTAGTACTTATCTGAAACATTTATCTACTTTTTGCTTATGATCGTATTTTTTTGTGAAATGCTTCTTTATGTCTGTCAATGTAAACTTTAGTAGCATCCCGAATTCTTGAAACACTATAAAAAATCATGTTCTTAATTTCTTTTTGTGAAAAAAAGAAGTATTGAAGGAAAAACTATTGAACATATTAACCAGACATATAAAATATAAGCAATAAAAATAATTGTTAAAACAGAGGCCCCGGAGGAGCCATATGATACTCGACCCCTTTACCAACGCTTGGAAGAACAGAGGCTTAAAAAAGAAGCTGAATTTGAAGAGGCACACAAACTTAGTAAGTCATTAATTTTTTAATTTTAATTAGTTGCTTATTTAATTAAATTAAAATATATATTTTGACAAATCCTGCTTGAAGGTTGAAGGAAAACCAGTATAATACAAAGAAAATATCTTTGAAATTACACAAACATAAAACTAAAGAGTGAACTAAGCAATTTATTCAAGAAAATTAGCAATGAGGCATAAATAATACATAAATAAAATAGTTATTACTACATTGCTAGAAGAATAATTATTGAAACTGAGTACTTTCAATCAATCTATGGAATAAGTGATTATGAGCTGGATGTTTGAGACGCTGCTGAAAGCCTGCATGGAAAACATATAGGCTCTAGTAGAGAGAGAGAACTAGAATTTAAAAATCCTTTGCATTTATTGTTTATGTGAAAGCTTTCAATTGCATATTACATGAGTATATGGAATGCTTTAAAACATTAAAGTAGATTTAGAGCTCAGGGATTGAAATCATAAGGGGGTTAAACAAGGCATGCCACTATATGAATCGGTACTCCAAATTGTATTCAATAAGCTATTAGCAATCGAAAGGTATATTGAGGTTGAATCACTTGAGATTTGCAGATAACATCGATCTGTTTGCCGAATCTGGCAGAGCTCTAGCACAAATGATAATTGAACTGAGCAAGGAAAGTAAAAACATAGGACTAACTCATACATAAATAATGTATCTCACATATACAATGTGACAATGAAATGGTATAATTTTTCAGAGAACATGATAAGAGGTCTTGATGATGATGAAGTAGGTTTCCTTGACTTGGTTGAGAGGACAAAAGCAGAAGTTGCACAACAGATCAGTATTGAGGAGAAGAAAGAGATGCAGGAGTTTCGGTTAGTGTTTTAATTCAATATATCATTATAGACTGTTAGGAGACACTGCATATAAAGTTTAAATGAGCTGAATAACAAGTTACTACTAATTGGTATAAGCCATCATTTCTCAAGTGGGGGGGTTGAGTTTGTTTTAAAGGGGGTTGCAGTGTTGAGAGTAATAAATACAAATGAAATATAGGTACAAAATATTTATTAAAAATTGTGCGTTATGTACATATTATTATAATGATACAGTGAAGGGGTGGCAAGACTGTTTTACTTAACTTTTTACCTTTTTCGTGGGTCACAACATTAAAATGGTTGAGAAAGATGGTATAAGCTATTGTTAATTAGTTTTAGTATCTTCTTAATAATCCTTAATCATGCCTTAAATATATAAGTGGTGTATATCAACAGTGCAATATAAGAACATATCTCGAGGCCATAGCTAAGCAACATGTTTTTTTGTTTTAATTATTATATTCGGATTTCAATGATACTTAAGCAATACTCGACGTCTGCCGTTCCACAACTGAGCGTTTTTCAGGCAGTTTTTGCCGTTGCACCACCACTATGTGGAACCAACTGCCCACTGAAGTATTTCCGAACCTTCATGAAAAGAGCGTACCAATTCTGAAAAGGCCGGCAACGCACTCGCGAGCCCTCTGGCATTGAGAGTGTCCATGGGCGGCAGTATCACTTAACATTAGGTGAGCCTCCTGCCCGTTTGCCCCTGTTCTATAAGAAAAAAAATATTTTGTGCATAAAAAATATGTACACTTTTAAAATATGCTTAGAATTAACTCAACTTGAGTTAATTCTAAGCATATTCTTAGCAATGCACTATAGTATTAATGAAAATATAAATGGATTTCCAGAGAGCGAGTGTCAAACCTGGCAGAGAGTGAGGAGATAATTCGTCTCCGTGCACAACTAGCACCCGCAAGGACTACACCTGCCGCAGCTCAAAAACAGAAGAATAAATTGCAGGGCGTAAGTATTATTTACCACTAGTATTAGTATTCAACCTTCTGAACTAAAAAAATAATACAAACAGTTATAATAAAAATTTAACAGATTTTGAATAACAAAGCATATTAATAATATCCCTGCCACAAAACTCGATAAGTCTATATAATATCTGTTTCAAATTCATATTATTTCAATATAATTTCAGGTTGTTATAAGAAAGAGGAAAGCGAGTGAAATGGAAGGAGAAAAAGACAAGGAAACTCCACCACAGAAAAATGGAAATGATAATAGGTGATTTCTCCAATCTATATGAATTATATTTTTACTATTTGGTCTTTATTCAAATTATTGAATAATAGTCGCAACAAGTTGTTTCCAGAAAGGGCATTTGACAGCGGTTCCTGAGATATATTTATTGCTTTTAAGATGTCCATTTTTAAAACTTTGATAAATAATTTTAAAAATGGACATCTACTTCTGTTATTTCCGGGTGACTAAAATTAATTATAATTAAAAATACCCTTTTTATGGTAAAATATTAAATAAATTTTATTATTTTTCCAGTGTAAGCAATATAGTAGTGGAGTCGGAGACCTTAGGAGCGATGAGGTCTGTTGCGGTGTTACCCGGTCTGGGACATTACACGGACACATCCACTGACACTGACGACTCTTCGGATGATGAGGTTATTTACGTTTTTTAAAATTTATGACATTGTTATAGTTTTGAAATCTGGTAACATTTTGTTGTTGGCTAAAGATTTTGACATACGGATCTCTATGTAAGGTCATTTTAAAATTGTAATTACATTACAATGTTTTAGTTTTGTAATGGGGCCGTTCAAGTATTACGTAAGAAAATTTACTGCAATTTATCCCCCCCCCACCTTCTCTTCTATTGTTGGAAAAGTAAGCAAATTTACTGCAATTTATCCCCCCACCTTCTCTTCTATTGTTGGAAAAGTAAGCAAATTTACTGCAATTTATCCCCCCCACCTTCTCTTCTATTGTTGAAAAAGTAAGCAAATTTACTGCAATTTATCCCCCCCACCTTCTCTTCTATTGTTGAAAAAGTAAGCAAATTTACTGCAATTTATCCCCCCCACCTTCTCTTCTATTGTTGGAAAAGTAAGAAAATTTACTGCAATTTATCCCCCCCCCACCTTCTCTTCTATTGTTGGAAAAGTAAGCAAATTTACTGCAATTTATTCCCCCCCACCTTCTCTTCTATTGTTGGAAAAGTAACCAAATTTTACTGCAATTTATCCCCCCCACCTTCTCTTCTATTGTTGGAAAAGTAAGCAAATTTACTGCAATTTATCCCCCCCCCACCTTCTCTTCTATTGTTGGAAAAGTAAGCAAATTTACTGCAATTTATCCCCCCACCTTATCTTCTATTGTTGGAAAAGTAAGCAAATTTACTGCAATTTACCCCCCCCACCTTCTCTTCTATTGTTGAAAAAGTAAGCAAATTTACTGCATTTTATCCCCCCCAGTTTCTCTTCTATTGTTAAAAAAGTAAGCAAATTTACTGTAATTTATCCCCCTCCTTCTCTTGTTGAAAAAGTAAGCAAAGCTCTCAAAAATAATAGTTGTAATTTTTTGCACGAATCCTCGAAAATGCATTTTGTTTTCAATCTTAGACAATGTGTGGGTAATATTTGTAGAAAAGTAAATAATTACTGTTGACGTAATCACCCTATAGTGATTACGTAATACTCGAACGGTCCCAATCTGGTAACATTTTGTTTAGTTTAAGAATTTGTACTTTGTGGTGCATACATATATTTTGTGTACGTGTCTTCATTTAAGGACATTTTAAAATTGTTATTTTGTTTTTGGTTTAAGATTTTGAACTCCTAGATCATTTGAATCCCAATGTTGATTAAATAGCGTGATGGGGTTTGCTCACATTCAGTGGGCAAAAGAATTATTTCACTTTGTTAAATCTTTTACCTAAAATAAATTTTTGTCAGATTATTATGAATAGTTTGATGAACATGCCTGAAAAACAGGATAAAACTCATGGTGTTCTAACACACTTCCTTATTAATAATTGTATGTCTGATTGCATTCTTGTAAAGTCTTTCATTTCATTCTGTCAAATTGAGTTTAAACTGTCATAAATATAGATATATAAATATAATTCGATTAAATTTTCTTTTCTTTTCGCAGCATGAAAAATGTGTAAAAAGAGACCTACTAGGAAGGAGACCGGAGCAAGTAGCAGATAAAAGAAAAGATGATTCATGTTAAACATTTTAAGATTTTAGTGTCGCGGTCTAGTGCGCCTAACCACCTAACGGCTACACCAATCTTGATGTATTTATTGAGATCGCCGATTTTAGTATAAGAGGCCGTAATAGAATATCACAATTACTTCACATGATAGCAGTTGGTAGGTTTTAATGATTTTTGTATAGGGTAACAAATATCAACACTACAATTTTACAGTAACAGTGATTTGTAGCTATTTCTAAGCCGTTATTTATAGCAGTTATTAAATATAGCAGCTCTCAGAATATACCCTAGAAATATACTTACTATATGGTTCAATTTTCATTGGAATGTTCACAGCACCTTGACATTTAATTTTAAAATGCTGTTTTGTTCTGTGATGTACATAATTTTCTAATTGGAATTGTTATTTTTTAATGTAATAAAGATTTACATTTATGAGTGTTTTTTATTCAAATATAACCCGAATATAGTTGCGGAAAACTATTTGAAGAATATTTTTTTAAAATAATCTTTGAAATGTCATTTTCGACATCTGTCAAAGTGTAGAAAATAAATAAAGTTTTTTAATATAATAATAAATAATTACACACAAAAATCAGACAAAAAATTTGATTTATACAAATTGTTAATATAGTCTAGTCGACAAGTTGAAAATGGTACAAAATAGAGATACTGCTCTTAAAATTATGCCACGCGCGAATCCTAAAAATGTGAATGTGAAGTTTCTTAAATATTAATAGTTTATTAAATATTGGCAAAAAACGAAATGCCATTTTTTTTTATCTTTAATTGTTTATAACTTTCGCAATTTTTTATGTGCTAATACACGCTTTTGGCACATTTTTCTAGACGTCATTCCGGATCCAATGAGCTATCGCACATAATTTTAAGAGCAGTATCTCTATTTTGTACCATTTTCAACTTGTCGACTAGACTAATACACAAAACTCCGTTACCTAATATTACACTGAGATTATTAATACTTATCAAACACAAAAATGTCTGCCTCATGGTCACATTAGGGTATAAAGCCATATAAAGCTTCAGTTACAGGTTCGACTCCCGGCTGATTAACTTCTTTAGTGGCATCCGACTCTTCGCTTGCTGTTTCCATGATAACATCCTTTTCTTTCTTCTTTCGATTTCTGCAAAAAATTGTAAACGTTTTACCGAAATAAAATATAACTGCCATTGGAAAACGACTTTTAGAAAGAGACAATTGGCTAATTTCGGAATCGTATAGCGGTCTCTGTCGCACACAAAGTTTAGTCAAATATTATCCCATCACAAATATAACTGTAAAAAACACCAAGTCTGGCAACGCAGTTTTTCTACATACTCGTAAAAATTATAAGAGTAAATTATTACGATGCACGCGCACACCGTCACAAAAATCCGACACTCTGAAGCTATAACGCGTGTACATAAGGGAGCGTTCAAGTATTACGGCACGCAATTTTTGGAGATTATTGACCACTCCCCCCATGTAACGCGCCGTAACGTAAAAGTTACAATTATGTGGTGTATAGTACTGGAAAGTCGAAAATAAAATAAACAATAACGCGTAATTCAATCTCCGCCTCGCATCGTTCCGTTTTACAAAAGGATGCCCCCCCCAAAATTCGTTACGTAATACTTGAACGCTCCTTAAGTACGCACACGTTTTTTTTTTAATTCTTTGGACAATGATAGACTGAAGTCGCTCACTCATGCAAAGATTACGATTTTCGAAATAAAAATTTGTTACTTACCTGTTAATATAGTAATAATAAATCACGAATATCTGAAATACATACCGTTTAGGATAAGGCTGTTTCAGATGAAATGTTTTGTAATGCAATTTCATACTGTTGCTTTGAGTGAATCTTTTATCGCATAATGTGCACTGGTATGGTTTTTCGCCTGTGTGTGTCTGAAAATAGATGAATAAATAAAAATAAAACTATTACAATAGGAAGCATTTCGTAAATAAACTAGTAGTGGTAGTAGAAGTAGTAGTAGTGTGTCATTGATATACAAAAAACCCAAGATGCACACTCAACGTCAAAAAAACGTCCTCAAAAAATGAGCGCAACATTCTAAATTGTGCGCTCATTTCAAATAGTCTCGCGTCTATATGTGGAGTCGATGTTATTTATTTGTGTTTTTTTTATAAATAAATTTATGTACTCTTGAACTTTTTTGTGTGTAGTTTTTGACAAATATATTTACGCTATATAAAGTGTGGGTCAGGAGGTAGCCAATTTAACATTTTTTTTTAATTTAAAGAAAAAACTTTTTAACCGGATTAAAGTTATGTATTATTATAAATTTACAACTATTTAACATCCAACACCTTTTGTCTTCAGTCACCGTGACCACTCACGCTGTAAAGCACCCGAAAAGTCGGATAAATTTAAAATTATGTTAAATAGTTGTAAATAAAAAAGTCATGTTCGACTCCACTCAATACCTTGTCCTACCGACCACGGTCGGTCGTAAAATTTTATTGCTTTAAGTACGTATACACTGCGTTGTAATAACAACTTTAAGCAATTCGCGTAAGGTTCTGTTATGGACAGAAATAGTGTTTCGGGACACTTTCGAGCGTTACTTTTATTCGAGAGTGTGCATCTTGGGTTTTTTGTATATCAATGTAGTGTGTACTCAATTTCCGCACTTAGACTCTCATTTGGTCCGTTGTGCGTAAACCCCGGCTAACTAGGACAGCCTAGTTCCTTCCGGAAGTTCAAAAGTTACCTGGGCACTCCGCAGGCTTCACAGAGCGACCTCACTGCTTCGAGGATTTTTGTTCGTTGAGAAGCCACAGCCACGCATTCCAAGACTACGTGGGTGACTGATTACTCTGCGCTTTTTATAGGTTTCAAACAAATATAACTAAAACTAATTAATTTTGATGTTTTCAGTAACAGCCTCATTGGGCGTACTAAGTAACCACTTCTCAATGGTTGACTCTCCTGGTGCAGAATCCGAATAATGTATATCAAGCCAAACCTTGGCTTCAATGGTATTTTTTTTTCAATGCTTCCAACGAAATTCCATTTTTATCCAGTAAACAAATCCAGGTACGCTTGTCGTCCAGAGAACTTTGAGCACAACAGCTAACTGTTACTAAAATACCTAACGCCCTTGCCACTAGAAAGACAGAGAGAAGAAAAAGAGAGAAAGGGAGAGGAGAAGGGATGAAGAAGACAGGGATAATTAATCATCGAAACACCTAGTGGACAGTCACGCTGGAACGCCTTAACGAACTTGTAAAGCATTTGTATCTTCAAAAAACTCGAATGAAGTTCGGGACGAGGTGTCAAATGATTCGGATTCGCCGGTTCAACTTCTATACAATAATATTTAATACAGTGAAAAAAAGGATTTATGACTTATAAATATGAATCTTTAGAGATTTTTAAAAACAAATCAGTGGCGCTACCTACCTTTTTAGGTCTGGGCCTCAGGTTTCTGAATCTGTTTTATGATAATATGTCAATCTAAAAGTAAAGTAGGCGAGCATCCCTTGCTTGACGCAGGCCTTCGACTTTTTGGGTCTAAGCCGGTTTCCTGGCGATGGTTACCTTCACCGTTCGAACGAATGTTAAATGCGCAGATAGTGTATTTGTATAGCCTGGAATCGAACCTACGACCTCAGGGATGAGAGTCGCACGCTGAAGCCATTAGCACTGCTCAGCCATTTTTTAAGGTTTTATTAATAATTTCAAAATCTTACCAATTTATGTCGCTTCAACCCCACATTGGAGACGAATTGCCGTCCGCAAGTCTCACACGAGTGTACCTTCTCCTTTGTGTGCATATTTTGATGTGTCGGTACACTACCCGGCTGTGGAGATAATGATAGATTATTATAAATAAAAAGTATTAGGGTATTAAGAGATTTTTTAAATATACTGAAAACCTTAATTTCTAAAGTTCAATAACATGAATGACATATGTCAGGTTAATTTAATAGATGACAGTTTACATCTGTCAGTTTTAGCTTCATTCACTGACGCAACATTGTTGAAGTTAGACAGTTATAGACAAAATACCTATCAAAGGAATTTGTATGACAATCAGTTAGAAAAGAGATTTTGTCCCAAGCCCCAGTTCTCTTTAGAACATCAATTGTTTAGTATAGTTTTTAAGTGAAAGTTAATCGTAAATTTATATTCTCATAACAAATATGTAAGTAAAATTGAAAATAAGCAACAGTGCAGTTCTAAAAATATCCCGCCATTATAAGGTAACGTCATTGAATGATGACGTGTCAAAAGTCATCAATTAAATTGACACTAACTCACCGCTAAAGACGCGCCACAGATCTCACATATGTGTCGTTCGTTCGGCGCATAGAACGATGTACGCGGGTGTTCTTCTAGATGATGCTTCATACAGGCCATTTGAGAATCGAAATATTTTCCACACTAAGGGAAGTGCAGTTAGAATTAGTTTTTATGAATAAAGTGTGGAGAAATGGTGAACAGTTACTCCGACCTAGTCCAGTCTAACCACTGGGCACTGATTGTTAATCTTTGGAATGGAATCTCGCTGCTGGCCTGAATGGCAGCTCGATTCGGGCTGTTTTGGCGAGCGTAGCTTGGCCGGAATGCTCTTTTCTGGCGACTAGCGCAAAGGCGTGTTCTTCGAGACTCGGACCTCGGCTAGGGGTCGACTGGTTCGAATCGAAATGTATATATCCCCAGCGGGAAATACTTCAATAGCGGGTTTCAGGGTATGACATCTTCGTACTGATTGTAGCGACATGTGGAGGAAGAATGGATGGAAGTGGACTTTCCTTCAACTCAAAGGGAGGATCCTGGACTAGTTTTTTTACTGACAGGCCCAAATATCGAGATGTCCAAAGATAATTCGGGATATTTACGGAGAGTATTCAGAAGTTGTTCAGATTAATACCTGCAGCTGAGTTTCATCATCGGACGTCGAGGCAGAATCCGAAATTCCACCCTTATCACCTTAACGCCCGTCGTTCTACAACTGACGTTATTTAAGCACTAAAATATTTCCGAACCAATTGGACTTAGTGTCCTTTAAGAAAAGCTAGCCAATTCTTAAAAGGCCGGCAACGCACTTGCGAGCCTTTTGGCATTGTGAGTGTATGGGCACTATCACTTAAAATCAGCCTTCTGCACTTTTGCCCTTAATTATATAAAAATAATATATGTATACCTTTAATTATTCAGTTAAACTAAATTAAAGCGCCATTGACTCACCTGATGACAAGTTGTAGGTTTTCTGAACTGTTTCCTCATCCGACGCCATCTTCTCTTCATAGGTTTAAATTTTATATCATCCGGTTTTCTGTAAAAGGTGTGGCCTTATTGGGCAGTTGCCATGGTTACCAGTCAGCACAGATTATAATTCATCTCTGTTTTCAAAACAGCGGAAACACACTTGACAGAAAGAGACGAAAATGCTTTTGTAAGCTTTTACACATAGTTTGTAAGTTACAAACGAGTACTTCTACTGACTTACCGATTTTTTAATTGACTCGTTATCTGAAAACAAATCATAGTCCCATAAATAATACAATAAGTTACAAGTACTTGACTTACGGTTTAAAATAAGTGTTTATTAATAATGTGTAGGATTTGGGAACCCTTTTAAGTAAACGCGTAACACGCGTGAGTAACTAAGAGAATGAATGAGTGTGTGGGTGCACGTGATAAATGATTGAGTGGGTGCATTTGAGTGAATGAGTCAATATATGGGTGCTTGTGAGAGAATTAGCAAGTGTGTGGGTGCATGTAACTAAGTGAGTGTGTGGGTACATGCGAGTAAATGAGTGTGTGGGTACATGCGAGTAAATGAGTGTGTGGGTACATCCGAGTAAATGAGTGTGTGTGTGATAGACCTACAACTTTGCCATGTGAAAACAGTACCTTGGCCTGCATTTTTTTTCCGAGTATTTTTCTTGTTGAGCCAACCTCCATTTTGTTCTCCGCGTCGTTTCTGAAATACATACATATGCACATACAAGACTGCTGGACCAATTCGAGTATTATTTTTATATATTCCTTAACTTTGAGCAAGGTTTTAAAATTAGAAGCATTTTATATGACGTATTTCTTTATTGACGTTCATAAGTGTACATTGTGTTATCTACATGAAAAAATAATTTTTGACACTCCCAGAAAGCTCACCAGCATTCACTGGACACTTATAACTCTAAAACTACACCATCTCAAAAGCTGAACTCACTGCTGACTATCCGTATGCATGGCTGAGTGGAAAAGGTGTTCTTCGAAAGCCATCCGCGTTTCAAAGTGTTTATTGCATTTCACGCAGAAGGTGTTCGCGGACTCATCATCTTCTGGAGATTCCTAAAATTGTCATAGAAAACGATTTAGTCACTTCAATTAATTTAATGGAGCAACTAAAAATTTATTCAGCTGAAATGTTTATTATCCATTTATTCTTAGGTAACATGAACGTCAAAATTAAAAAAATTGTTCTCAATTTACATTTATCATTAATCGCCATAAATCGTCAAGAACTCTCTGCCACTCTCTTAAATCGGCGAGAACTCGCAAGAATCTCTCCGCCGCTCTTTTAAATCGGCAAAAACTGACACGAATATCTCCGCCATTATTTTAAATCGCCAAGAACTGTCAAAGAACTATCCACCACTCTTAAATCGCCAAGAACTGTCAAAAAACCCCTGCCACTCTTTTAAATCGCCAAGAACTGTCAATAACTTCCTGCCACTCTTTGAAATCGCCAAGAACTATCCACCATTCTTAAATCGCCAAGAACTGTCAAAAACTTCCTGCCACTCTTTGAAATCGCCAAGAACTAATACTAGTTTTATAACATTACACTATAATTATTAATTCCTTTAATAAACGAATCTTTTGTACTTGATCCCCGCCCCCCAAGCCCGCTTACATATAGAAAATAAATGTTATCACTTAGGCGAATGCTACACGCTCGATATTTATCGTGATATTTGGATCGTGATCCAAAATTACGATGTGTAGTACATGCGTATCACGATCCGTGATACGGATCGCTGGATTTCTAGAAATCTAAAAATCCACGATCCGTATCAATTATCGTCGATAAATATCGAGCGTCTAGTCTCTGCTCGATATTTATCGCGTCAGTATTTATTCTGCCAGCGATGGAAGAGGACGCGCATATATGGAGGCGGAATAATATAGAGAATTCATACTTGTATTAGAAACATTACCTATAAGTATAGGCTGATTTACACGTATTAAGTTGCCAAGTCTTAACTAAATTTTAAGTAACCGTTTACACGTAAAAATACTAAATAATTAGTTAAACTCATTTATTCGCTCAAGATGGACGACCACAGAACAAAATATTATAGGATTTTCTCTTCCTGATTGGGGATTTACTGTATTGTATGCTCCAATACATGATTGTGAAGGTTCTGGGGACTCAACGTAATACGTATTTGAAGAAGGCGAAGGAGTAAAACGGCTACAATTATTCATTGGGGAAGGGGTTCTACTACTGTTCATTAATTGTTGTATACGCATATCGGACAAATAGTTTTGGATATGTTTTTGAGCTTCCAGCGCCGAAAGCAAAAGCATAGCTTTGCAATGACTCCGCCAGCTTATGCTTTTCACTTAAATTTAACTAAATTTTGCCTGTCCAAACGTGTCAAGTGATTAGCCACGCCCACCAACTTAACCGAAAAATAGACAAAATTCTATTCTACCTTGTTTACTTGCAACTAAATTTTAACTTGCAACTTCTTACTAAATTCACTGTTTACACGGGTTAAGTTACTTAAAATTAAGTTAATATTTAGTAAATTTTTAGTCAACTTAATACGTGTAAATCGGCCATATGGGACACCTCAAATGCAAACTAGGCAAACTACAGAAAATAATTTAAAAAAATAACAGATTTGAAACGATCTGGTGCTGCAGCGGAAAATGTTTACAATTCAAAGTCTTGGATATTGATGTATATCAGCATATACTGATAATAATAATAATAATAATGGCAACGCAAGCTTTCTTAATATTGTTACTCATATTGTAACACGAAATGTACGAGTGTACTCAATGAAATTTACCGTCGTACTGACGCGATCCGTATCGAGTGTGTAGTATACTAAAAAAATACAAGATAAATATCACGATAATTATCGAGCGTGTAGCATTCGCCTTACAGTATGCCCCGCCCAATGCTTGACGCGCTTGTGTTGTTGAAGACCAATTTCGCTGACAAACGAAGAGCCACATATCGTACAGATGTGTTGACTTCTGTGCGTGCGCAAGTGGGAGTAATACGTCGATGGGTGCCTGTAAAATACAATTATATAAAATGTATAAATAAAATTTAACTAAAAGACTAGACATTTTATAAATAGCTGACAGGACAGACGTTATTTTGTTTTAAATACAAAAAAATTAACTAATTGTAAATCTAAACTTACACATAAATTTCATCAAAATCGGTTCAGCCGTTTTTAGGAGAAGTTTTTTATACACACAGATGACATATACATATTATATAAAGATTATGGTAGTAAATAAAAGCTTTGCTTAGAATAATGTGAAATTATTGAAATAATCGAAAATGTCCGTGAAGTGAAGTTAGTTGCTCTAAGAAGTTGTCCAAAAACGGTCTGTCAAATATCCATCTGTCAAAAGTCCGTATGTAAAATGACCATAGGTCAAATTAATTAAGTAATATTTTTTTAAACCTTTTTGATTCCTGTGTTCGTGTTTTCGAAATAATGATTAAACTCTGAATGTGAGGAAACCAATTTGCCTTAGACCCAAAAAGTCGACATGAGTCAGGCACAGAAGATGATCACCTACTTGCCTATTAAATTGACAAATTATCATGAAACAGATACAGAAATCTGAGGCCCAGGCCTCAAAAGGTTGCAGCGCCACTGATTTTTTTCTGATCACTTACTTGAATTCTTCCCCGCAGAGAGTGCAGGTCTTGATATTCCCAGTATGAGATCCTTCGTGATGTAACGCTGACGATCTGAAACCATTTTTCTTGCATTTACAGCAGTTGAATAAACAAAATCATGTGTGTGTGTGTGCTACAACTTAGCCCATTTTTGTAATCTTTTTAATAGGCAAGGCTTCTATACCTAATGCCAGATTCCTCAGGATATTTTTTTTTCACCGTACACGCGAGTGGTTATAAAAATGACCATCCAATGCTTGGATTAGCCATGCAGAGATTGAACCCTCTGGCTTCATAATATATTATATTTACATATTATTGAAGTGAAAGTTCTTTAGGCGCATGAGGGTAAAAATTTTACGGAGCATCACGAAGATGTGCAACGTTTTTGTCGACAGGGAGAGAGATTGAGAGAGAGTGAGAAGGGTGAATTACCTTACAGAAATTCTATTTTTAAAAATAAATTTCGTCAAGAGAATTTATTAAATATTAGTATTTTATATTTTATGCAAAATAATTTATTGAAATCTCAAATGACGAATTGTAAATTAAAACGCCACGTGTTTTTATTATCGAAGAAATAAATTTAAAAAATTAAATTTATAATTTGTAGGTATACATTTTCGACACTTTTAATAATTTAATGACAATTAAATTCCTAACAATATTTTCCTTATTCCCTAAGTCTCGGAAATCTTAAGTTCTTAGATTTGTATAAATATGAACAAGAGTTAAAAATTAGTTTGCCAAAGAAGTTTCACTTCTGACACGTTGTGTATTGTGTAGGTACTTTATACGCACGCACTTTTTATATTTATTAAAGTTCACCATATATACATAATGTTATATCTACAGTATACACGCTATCTTTTCTAAAAATATGACAATTATGGTAATAAATGTTACAAAAACTAGCAAATCAGCGAATTAGCCTAATCAGATAGGCCCTTAGCAATGCTTTTTTTAACAGTAAAAAAAAATTAAAATATATAATGTAAAATAAGTTATTATTTTTTAAACTCACTCGGACATAAACACGAGATGACATCTCAAGCACTCATACGTATTAAGGTGGTCACGCATATGCCGTCGCACGTGACAGCCAAATTTGAAGTTCATACGACAGAAACGACATTCCAACTTGCCTTTAGACTGAAAATAAAATTAAAAAAGTATTTTGAAAAAACTTCGAGAAATTCCCTCCATTAATAAAAACAAAATCACTGTTATCATTGTATTTCGTCTCTTTCTGTTACACGGTAATAAAAAGAGACAGATCAGTAGTTAAAACAGACGGGATTTCGTTCTTATGAGTATGAATCTCTGAGTTGGGGCATATACTTTGTTTGTCATGTTTAGGAGGCTCACCTGATGTAAAGTGACACCGCTATACCCCGCCCATGGACACTCACATTGCCAGAAGAATTGGTGCGCTCTTTTCTTGAAGGACCCTAAGTCGAATTGGTTCGGAAATACTTCAGTGGGCAGGTTCTATACAGAGGTGGTGCGCGGAAAAAACTGCCTTAAAAAACGCTCAGTTGTGGAACGACGGACGTCGAGGTGATACGGATGGTAATTTGTACTATATTTAACTGATAATTGTTCTTTATAAGTTGCCTTAGCCTTGGAGAAGTGTTGGCCTAGTGGCTTCAGCGTCCGACTCTCAACCCTGAAATCGTACGTTCGATCCCCGGCAGTGCCCCAATGGACTATTGTGCGCGCATTTAACGGTGAGGTTACCAGAGACCTAAAAAGTCGACGGCGTGTGTCAGGCACAGGAGCTTATTCCTGCTTGCCTACTAGATTGACAATGATTATGAAACATATACAGAAATCTGAGGCCCAGACTAAAACATGTCGTAGCGCCACTGATTTTTTTTTATCAGCCTTGGATCCCATGTCGAAATTTCTATATCAAAATATATTAATAAATATAATATAAAAAAACAATTCACATGTTATACTTTTATACAACTTACTACTACTTTATTTATACAACTTCACTGTTATTATTACTATCATAAGATAGAACAGTCATCTTATTCATTAAAGGCTGGAAGAAGTTTAGAAATATAATTTTCAAACCTTCTGGTCCTGTCCTTAATTGGCATTTTGATTTAAATAAGTTGTAAGGTTATTCTAAATAAATAAATAATGTTATGAATCTACTTTAATATTATTATTATATCAATATTATTATTTATTAGTAATCTTACAGCTAACACATATCCAGGGCTCAATTCTTGGCCCTTTCCTCTTTCTTGTTTATATAAATGATCTACCTTTCATGGTAGAGAGAAAACATCAGATAGTTTTGTTTGCTGATGACACGTCCTTGATTTTTAAAATCAAACGACAAATAAAAAATTTTGACGATGTGAACAATGCTCTGTCTTCGATTGTCCATTGGTTTAGTATGAATAACCTTCTACTTAATGCAAAAAAGACAAAATGCATTAAATTTTGTGCAAAAAATGCAAGGGTTATGGATACTAGACCAATTATAAACGGTGAGGAATTGAATCTGGATGATACAACTGTATTTCTCGGAATCACCATGGATTCAAAACTTCAGTGGTCCCCTCATATTAACGGATTGGCGAAGAGACTTAGTTCTGCAGCCTACGCGGTTAAAAAAATTCGCTCACTAACTGATGTCGATACAGCTAGACTTGTTTATTTTAGTTACTTTCATAGCTTAATGACTTATGGCTTATTATTATGGGGTCATGCTGCTGATGTCGAAACTATTTTCATCCTGCAGAAGAGGGCTATTCGTGCAATCTATAATTTAAAATGTAGGGAATCTCTTAGAGATAAATTCAAGGAAATTAATATACTTACCTTTCCCTCGCAATATATTTATGAAAATATTATGTATGTATACAAAAATAGTGATAAGTTTACTAGAATAGAACATACGCACAATGTTAATACACGGAACATACACGGAACAAACGCAGGCTACAATTTCCCCGTACTAGACTATCTAAAGTTAGTAATTCTTTTTTGGGGAAAGGGATACTCTTCTTTAATAAAATCCCAGAGGCTCTTTTATCACTGCCTTTCAATAAATTTAAGAAATGTATTAAAGAAAAGCTGTGTAAAAAGGCTTACTATAAAGTCAACGATTATCTAGTTGATAAAAGGGCCTGGGACTAGTGCTAGACAGGCTACTTCTAATCAATTTGCGATATTTGTTTTAAATAAGTGTTGTTTGATGATTTGCTGTTTTAAAAGAGTACCGAGAGTTTTTTACGCCGGCTTTTTCTCTCGGCCTTCACCCTCTGTCTTCTTTGCCGATGAGTAGGGATGCCTTCAAATTTAATGACGTGGAATAAGTGATACATGTATCTTATGTTCCATAATAAACATATTTTATTTTTTATTTTTTATTTCATATTATAAAAGAAAACACTGAGACAATACACAAAGCCAAAATAGAATACATGCCAATATGATAATGTCGAGAAACATTAAAGAAAATATAATAACATAACTAAAAATAAACATTATTACCGTATTATGTCGCAGTTGTCGGTGCCGCTTCATCATTTCCTCTTTAGAGAAACCCTTAAAGCAATCTTTGCACTTGAATGGTGCTGCTAGATATTTTTTATCACTTCCCCGAGCATGAAATGCCTGCAAATTAAATATTTCTTTATTTGCAGTTCATTGCACATTATAAAACAACAATAAAAATCTTCACAGTGCAACTGGTTTCCATTAATTAATAATAAAAATAGAAATATAAAAATGATTTAATTGGATATCTTCATAATACAATATTAAATAAAGTTTAATTAAGTAAAGTTTCACTATGTTTGTTTATGATGTAATTAAATATTTAAATGAATTAGTTCTGAAACAGTCAATTAAATTTTACAAACCTTAATGGCTTCATCTTCAGACATTGATACTAACTTCCAATTGACATTATTATAAATCCTAAGCCTCTTAATTTCCTCCTTTTTTCCTTTTTCATCTTCGCTTTTGACGTCTGTGAAATCTTTTTCATAGTCTGTAGTAAAATCATAGTTGAAATCCAATTCATTATCTGTGTTATCCTCTATTTTATCTACGATTACTTTCTCTATATTGTCTTTGTTATCCTCAATATTTTCAAATTCACTGAAAGTATATGTTAAAATGTTTGTATCACTAGATATTTGCAGTGGAGAAGAAAGTTGTAAAAGTTGTCTATTTATTTTTAAAACAGAGTCATATGATATCTGAAAAAATAATGTTCTATATTAATTACCTGTTAAAGTTTTTTTATTTTTATTGAAGTAGCTTTAATTAAAAAGAATATAATTTTAACTTATCTTAATGTGTAAAAATCAACATTATTTAATTTTGTTTTCAAACCATAACAACAAAAATATTAATATTTACTTTAAACACTCTATGAAACTACTTCGAAGTTCTTTAGCTATTCAAAAACAACTTCATGTATAATATGAATCAATTTAAAATTATTTTTCATCTCAAATGGTCAGAAATGGCTTACAGAATCTCTCCACAACATTTCTTGAAGAATTCTTCTTCCAGTTAAGCATTTCTCTTTGAATTTGTGAAACTTGTGCAACAATGATGCACATTCATAGCAAAAGTATTGTGGCAATCTATCTGTATCATATGACTGTAAACAGAAAGTAAATATTTAAATTAAGACAGTGGATAAACAAATATACATAGGAATTAGGAAATAAACAACAACATTTATTACTTCTATTACTTATACACTTATTTTACTTATATGAGTATGTTAAGCAAAAATAGAAATGTCAGAAACTTCATAAGTTATATTTTACTTAGAGACTTGAGAGTACTAATAATTCTTAATATCTAAATTAACTTAATATTCTTAGTAATTTTTTTTACATACAAAATCCCTAAGTTAACTTTTAATATCAAATTAGTTAACAGTTTAAAAATATATATGAAAGCTACTTACGTTTAATCTTAAAAATTCTTCGTAATACGATTTTAATTTGAATTTATCGTAATGGTATACTTTTACATCTGTATTTAAACAGATTCTGCAAATTATTGGTGTGTCTGACATTTTATTTATTTGTACAATCTCAAAATGATGCCATAGTTTGTTTAACTAGATTTATTAACATAATTCAAATGATAGCCATAAAAATAAACAACATTTTCAACAACCGCAAAAACACGGATCAAACATCAAACGCATCTGCTGATTGCTGAAGCTTATTGTGACAATTGACAAAGTTTGACGTTAACGATTAAACTTGAAACAAATACAGTTAAATTAAATAAATATAAATTGGAGAGAAAGTGTGTTTTTTTTCTCCTCTTTTTGTGTATATTAGAATGAAAATATATACATAATATTATAATTACATATTTATACCAGATATTGTGATTTATTTACATTCCAGCAGATGGCGTGAAATGAAGAATATAAAATATTCTCTTGACAATCTTAATTTAAGTTATTATATTATGAACTTAAAGATACCAATCGTGAAAATTAATTCTACTACTTATTGTTATTATAAAATAATATTACGCTCACCTAAAGAGCAACTACATTAGCAGTCGGCCAAAAAATCTCCATAGACAATAGATTAATAATGTAAACCGAAATAATAAATAACCGGAGTGGATGATATTCTAATTAAAGTTCCTCATTAATTAGCACGAACTTCAATAAATTTCAAAAGCTTAGCACTCAGACCTGACATTGATCGAGTTGCCGCAACGCCAAAACCCAATTAATTTCCTTCAGGTATTTTTTACTTGATTAACTCTAAAATAACAAGTCATGCTTGATTACAATTTTATATGGCCGCGGACTTATTCTGAATTTAATTTTAAAAACACATTAACGTCATTATCGTATGTGCGTCTGTAGATTTAAAAAAAACCTAATATCACAAAAATACTCTTATATTTATGATATGGTAAACTAGGATTTGATCTAAGAGATTTGAATAGTAGGTACCTTATATCCATAATGCTTTGAATTCATAAACAACAAACTTAGAGCCATAATACAAAATTTGGTCATATTCATTCATATATAGGTATATACTAAGTCTTCTGTGCGCGTGTAAGCTTCTCCTAAACCTCTGGACCGATTTTGATGAAATTTTATGTGTCTGTTCAGAGATTTTTTTTGATTTTGATATGTTTATTTAATTTTTTTTTAATAACAATTTTATTTTAGATTATACACATATTTATTTACATGTAAACAAACCAAAACAGAGACAGACTAACATGTTATATATGCGTGTTCCTTATAATTATAGGTCAAACAATAACATTGTATAGTTAGGATAGAATAAGCATTGAAACGCCAATATCGCTTTACTTCTCAAAGGCCGGAAGCTTTCAAAACCAAGGTCGAATATCGCAATTTAACGCGAATATAATGTAGGAGAGCGCTCTAATAACCCTTTTTCATGTCTAAATATTGCTATTAAATCCTAAGTGACTTCTATATTGTGGACGTCAAAGGAAACCCGCTATTGTTTCCCAGGATATCATTACAGCTGAGGCAATTATTAAACCCTAGCAGACCTTAAGTAGTAGCTTGGAATGTCCGTAATTTGAGGAATCTTCAGAAGTCATTGTTCAGTCGGCGTCCAAAATTAAAGGCCCTTTGAAAGGGGATGGAATTATAAAAAGGGATTTTAATAATAATAAACTCAAAAGCCTATTTCAAAAATCCAACAAATATATTACCGATTATATATTATACAGTAGAACCTCGATAACGTAAACCTCGGTAACATAAAAACCTCTGTTACTTCAAAAAATACTATGTTCCCTTCCCATCAGAGCCCAAAACCTCTATAACTTAAAATACGCAACCTCTACATAACGTAAATAAATAATCTCTGTATAGGCCCTCAGTAACTAAAAGAAATGTTTCCACAACCTCTATAACATAAAATTGTTTGTGAATGAGTCATTTTATAAGAGTGTCAAAACAAATGGTTTCGGTATTTATTGCTTGCACGTGTTTACTAATGTATTGTTAACGTAAACAATACATTACCTATTGTTTGCTTTATCTAAATTCTTCAAAGCTTTGCGGCGGTTAGCTTTGTGACAACGACTTACTTGCATCATAAGTTAATGTGTTAATGTATTCTCCTCTCTATTTGTCATTGAAAATCAAATCGATTATAAACAGTGAATTTTTTAAAACAAAAGAAAATCACAGTTTTTTTTAAGTAGACTAAACCTTTAGTTGTTGTTTTATTTTTATGTAATGTAAGTAATGTGAATAAATATGATTAAATATTTAATTTTCCATCCTTCTGATGCATTCAAGTAAAAATGGGAGGAAGGGTACATAGAAACATGTACATACCTCTATATTAGCCTTTACCTGACATAGAACCTTGATAACTTAAAACCTCGATAACATAAAATATTTTGTGTTTCCCTTGGACTTTATCTTATCGAGGTTCTACTGCTAGCTGACTCGGCCAAGCGTTGCTGTGGCTAAGGTTTTTGTTATATGAATTAGTAGTAAACTATTCAAGGGAAACGGTAGGAGAACACCAATCATGGGAACCACCATGCTTTTTTGGTGGTTATGTATAAATTGTAGCTTATATGAAACGTTGGTACTTTCAACACAGCGCCATCTGTTAGAATTGTGACTATCAAATAATAATTAAAATAATTTGCCATAAAATTATATTGCTGGTATAAATTGAGATGTAATCCTATCTTTTAAGTGAGATCAAACTGCACATGGTGTGCAAATTTGATTGAAGTCGGTTAAGTAGTTTAGGAGTCCATAGCGGACAAACAACCTGACGCGTAATTTATATATATTAGGTCCTTACATATGAAATTGGCGTTTTGTATGGGAGGAACAAAAAGTCGAATATTTTTAAATATAATATATTTAATTAATCAAAGTATGAACCATTGTTTTCTATGCACTTTTGCCATCTCATAGGTAGTTCATTGATCCCTTTACTAAAAAAACCAGTCGGACGGGAATCAATAAAATCTGTGCAGGCGATTTGGACTGCCCCATCAGAGTTAAATTTTTTCCCTTGCAAGAAGTTGTCCAAATTTCGAAAAAAATGGTAATCTGTTGGAGCAAGGTACGGGGAGTACGGAGGATGTCTTAGACATTCCAATTGAAGCTCTTCTAATTTGGTAGCCGTCTGTTGTGCAGTGTGTGGTCTAGCGTTGTCGTGAAGTAGCAGTGGCGTGGAGCGATTGACCAGCCTAGGTTGTTTAGCCGCTAGCTTTTCCATCATGGTTTGCAATTGCTGACAATAGACATCAGCCGTAATAGTCTGGCCAGATTTGAGAAAACTGCAATGAACTATACCGGCACTAGTCCACCAAACGCTTACAAGTAACTTTTTCGGGGTTAATTTTCGCTTGAGGCAGGATTTGGCTGGCTGGCCAGGATCCAACCATTGCGCTGAGCGCTTCCGAGTATCGTAAAGAATCCATTTTTCATCACAGACAATGATTCGGTTTAAAATACCTTCATTATTGTGCCGGTTCAGTAATGTAACGCAGCAGTCGACGCGCGTTTGCCGTGTTGCTTCAGTCAATTCGTGAGGTACCCATCTTTCAAGCTTTTTAATCTTCCCAATTTGCTTCAAGTGAATTAAAACAGTTTTATCACTAAGACCGCAGCCTGCAGCTAACTCGGACGTGGTTTGCGATGGATCCGCTTCCACAATAGCCTTCAATACTTCATTATCAACTTGGGTCTCAGGCCGTCCACGGGGCTTGTTCTGCAGGTCGAAATTTCCAGAACGAAAACGTTGGAACCAAAAACGAACTGTTTTCTTTTGCAACATGACCGCCATACACATCATTCACCCTTCGAGTCGTTTCCGCAGCACTAGTGCCACGGCGGAACTCGTACTCGTAAATAATGCGATACTTTAAGTTTTCCATTTTGTAAAATGAGTGACGCAAACAGAAAAAAAACAGAAGAAAAAAACAAATGAATGACGGTTATCGAAGCACAGATACATGAGTAAATAGCTGTACAAATTTGAATTTGGAATTCCTTACCAAAGAGGAGAACATCGTGATTAAAGTGGCCAGTACGAAATACGCCAATTTCATATGTAAGGACCTAATATTAAGATTATAGTTCAGTTCGGTGGCCGTTGTTGTAGATATGTTAAATGAAACATCTATTTTGAAGCTGGGTGTTAACTGGCTTTAATTGTTTAAAACATGAGCTTATAACAAAAATAAGAAGTGAAGAATTAAGGGAAGTGGGGTTGCAAAGCTGGATTCACAAAAAACTAACTTGATTTATTAAAGAGTTCTTAAATCTAAATGAATGTTAAATTACAATTGTGGTTTTATGAGTGTGGTAAAAACTAAAGGGCTCATTTTGGCTTTAAGTTTGATGATTGTTTACATTTTGTTTACGCTTCTAATTATTAACTAAATTCTTTAAATTTTATTACGTTATAAGCCTACGTTTTTAGTAGATACATGCCAACAAATAAACATTTTGCTATGCTACTCCATAGAGACTGGTCGCGTCCGGAATAAAAACCTAAGTACTAAATTAAACTTCATAAATCTCTGTATTTTTTAAATTGTGTAGGGGATATTTTCCTACTTTTGACGTTTCTAAATATTGGCTTGCGGCGCTGTAATGCGAGCTGCGAAGCAGAGTAAAGCTGCGTATAAATTAAGCGCGGCAGCCGCGCGAGCCAATGTTCGACCGGAGTTGACGTTCATTTGCCGCGCGAGCCAATATGTAGATATAAATTTAGTTGGACGTGACAGCCGCGCGCGGCAGGCGATCCATCACGAACAGACCGCGGTGGATAGTCAGACCAGTTCACTCTTGTAAACCTGCGAGTATGGACGCGCGTGTTCGGGCGGCTGTCGCTTTCATTGTGATTCACCATCTTATTTGTAAAAAAAATAAAAGAAAAATAAATATTTATTTATTTAATTTTTCAAATCTAAACTGAACTTTATTGACTATAATGACTCCTTTTCCAGTCTTTGATTATTTAATTATTTGCATGCAATCAAAAACTATTTTTAATAATGCCAGAGAAGTATAAC